GGGGGACGCAGCAGCTCTGCAACGGCTGCAGAAGATCGAAAATAGAAATCGAGAAAACCAGTCAGCATCGGAGCCGCTATTCGTTTCCAACTGAGCAAATAGACAGAGCGATGCCATCATAAGATATTGCGCAGGATCCACGGGAAAGAGAGCAACCGTGGAAGCTGATGAAGTACTCCTTACTCAGAGGAAAAGAACAGAGGTTAATTGATAGAGGCGGAAGGCACTGACTGGAGTTGAACTCTCGTCAACGAAGCACCAGGGACCTGGAACTATGACCCAATACAGGTAGAATCTATATTGTTCAAGTGTTGACAGAATCTTTGAATGGAAGCCTGTCAGCGGAAGAGTAACAATCCTCCAGCTGCAGCCCCATCAGACTGAAGCCTTGATCTTGTTACAGGTCTATTTGCCAAATTTCGAGAGAGAATACGAGTACTTTCTTGAGAAAGTGGAAGGTGTTCTATACGAAGTGTCGAATACTGAATTCATCATTCTCCTGAGGGATTTCAGTGCGCGTTTTGGAGCAGACCCTGAGAAGTGGAATAATGTGACTGGGACGAACAGCCCTAGCGATCTCAACAATGACAGCATGAAGTTGCTGCGCTTTCATGCAGACAGCAGACTTTCAATCATAAACACCTTCCTCGAGCATCGAACGGTGCATCAGTATAAGTTGATCACTAATCTGATCCTCATGTCGTCTGAGATACGACGCTCTGCAATCAACGTTCGCATTAGGAGAGGTGCAGAGGTGCTGAGGTATCAGCCGATCATCACTTTGCTGCTGGCACCCTCCGCTACAAACGATGGAGTGGCATGCAGACATCTAAGTCCAAATGGAGCACCGTATTCTGCGGATACGAGGCTGAAACTTGCAAACAACGTCACGCTATTGTCGAACACACTCCATTGATGACGGCTGAAAGGAACGCTCTTTAAGAACGGCTTACTCATGAATGCAATTTTAAAACGGGCTCCCGGCTCCCCTGCCGCCGGATGGACAGCTGAGGTTCAGAGGGCCTCAGCAGGAGGGCTACATTTAAGAAGTGGATAGGAAACAAACAGCTTTCAACTCGAATGCGGTAGAAGAAACACGCAGGGGGACGGCTGCGAAAGCAATGGCAAAAACGAAAGCTGAAAAGCAGATTCCTGAGGAAAGCTTGGTGAGGTGAACGAGTCGAATTTCCAAACGGCAAATTAGGTTTTCTGGCAGATCAACCGCCGCTTTCAAGATGTAAAGAAGGGCAGTTCGAGAGTCCTGAATATCAATCTCGATTGTTTCTTTCCAAGGAAGAGAATATATTTCGACGATGGTCAGAATGCAATGAGGAATTTAATGCTGAGCAATCCCAGGAAGAACCTCTTGAAAAGCAGAAGGTAAAGAATATTGGACTTTCCGTAGACGATGTCAAAGAAGCTGTAAAAGCTTGAAAAATGGCCAGGCTGCTGGAAATGCTTAAAGCATTAAGCGAACAAAGTATGTGTTGCTCCATACTTGTTTGTCAAACTGCAGATTGCGGGGAAGACACCGGTGGACTGGAGAACCTACGGTTGTAGGAATAAGGAATAGCATAGGGAGTGGTCAAATTATTAGGGTATTGTCTTATTGAGCCTCTCGAGTAAAGTCTACGCAAACATACTAGATAGGACATACTGCGGAATAATTGACCATGGAATACAAGAACCATATGACTTCAGGTCTGGTCGAAGCATCCAGGTAGTTGTCTTACATCAGGTTGTTGACAGATCGTAGGAGTTTGCACATACGGTTGGCTTCTGCCTTGTTTCCCTGGAAAATGACCATGACCATGCACTCAGGGTAACAAGCCAGTACAAGGATAACAGCCTATCGGCGTTCCTGTAAAAAATATGCGATCAATGGTTAGTTCGTACCAGCCGATTAGTCATTATATAATGATAGCAAGAGTTGCTCAAAGAAAATGGCGCTAAGTCGAGAGGTTTCACAGTTGACACTGATTTCTGCCACGACTGAGTTCTGTGCCTTCTTCTGTTTGTATTTTACGTGCATAAGATAGACAGACGCAGCCAGGGTGTTGAGTGTCTCGGTACACGATATGTGGAAACGAAAACTTTTCTGTTTACAGATGACTCTGTTTTGATGTCATCTTCTGGAACTGATCTACGATCTCTCTGCAAAGGTTTGCGGCCGACTGCGACGTGACGGGCATCTAAAACGAAAAGCCTGGTGTTTTCTCGTTCTCCTGCCCGTTGCTCACTTCAGGTGAACGGAGAGGCAGTGGAACAGGTGCAGAAGTTCAGGTACCTCGGAATTGTATTTACTAATGATGAAAAATTGGAGGAAGACGTCGACCGGCGAATTGGATTGTTCAGTGGCCGTGGCAGTTCTGCGTCAACTAGCCAGAACTGTCTTTTTTAAGGTCGAGCTGAGCCTGTAGATAAAACTCTCTGTTTTCAGGTCGATCTTCATCCCCATGCTCATCTACGGTCGAGACGTGAATCATGACTGGTAAATTTCGCTCCAGATTATAAACGGCTACCCATCTCGATATTGACATCTGAGAGAGCCTTTATTTACAACGATTTCTACTCCAGAGTGAGAAGTCATCGCTGTGATGTTATGGGCA